TGTCACCTGGAATGATGAGTCTTGGCAATATCCGGTGTGTCCAAAACCTTATTTTCTCCGCTGGTGTGATTCGCCCACTTTGTTGAAGCGTTCCCGAGAGGTTGCGCCTTGCTCGTGCTCTACGTGTGTCTTCCTTGCTTGTCTTCTGCGTTGTCGTTTGTCGTTTATCGATCTTGAAGTTCCTCCCCTTACTTCCTTCTCTCTTCCTCGTTTACTTCCTCCACTCTCCTTTTTCCACTCCTTATTCCCAATTCTCTCTTTGTGTTTGTCTTTGTCTCCTCACTCTTTGCTTCCCTTCTCTTGGATTTTCTCTGAATTCCACTCCTTCCCTACGATAATCGCCTTGCTAATTTCCCTTCTGCGATCCTCTGTCCTTCACGATTCTACTCATAGCCTTACTATTTCCAGTAAGTCTGTTTCATTGCTGGCGTTGTCCTTGATGATGATTGTGTCGCGCGATGGTTTCCTGTTTGCCACGCCCGAAGGCGCGGCGTCCTTACGGCCTTTCCCGCTCGATTTCAAAGTCGGGCGGGACGAGAATTGCCGCGCGCGCCTCGGCGGAACGCCGTGCGCTGTTGGCTCGAGAGGGTGACTGGCGTTGCCGCGTGCGGGAGTGTGCGTTAGCGTGAGCGCTAATTGTGAGCGCTAACCGATGGCGCTGGCGTCTGGCCCTGCCTAGACCTAACCTACAACTACTGGGCCTCTAAAAATGCCACTTTTGTCTTCTTCTGCTCGGCCTCCGGTACCTGCACATCTACCCCTTCCAGGTGCGGTACCGGCCTACCGGCTACTTGAGTGTTTTTCCCCGCTGCAACCCTTCAATGTCACGGCCACACGTAAGTACCGGCCCTGAGGGCCCAACGAACGAGCAAGTGCCCTGACGGGCCACACACATACTCATGCCAACCGCACTCAGACAGGCACGGTCACACACACACCCAAGCCAACCAACACTCAGACAGGCATGGTCACACACACACTCAAGCCATCCAGCACTCAGACAGACATGGAGTCCAGCAAGCGTGCACACACAGACTTAGTAGCAAGCGGGAAACTCAGCAGGGCATTCAGTCTATGGGCAAAACTCAGAAATCAGTTGTGTGTTTCAGTCCATGTATGGACGGGTCATCACAGCCCTGGGAACCTGAGAATCGTTGCGTATGCACACGACAATGGCCCAAGTACTGGTGGTTTTAACTTTTAAGTGTTCCATTTCAACAACCTTTACTTCCTCAAGTCGTGCCCGTATACAAGCCACAATTTTAGGAAACATACGGGCCACTACAGGACCGCCCAAATTCATCCGGCCAGAAACGTTTCTACTCTTTTTTTTTTTCCCGCGGCCCGTAGCTGGGCCAACCCGGCCAAGTACTGGTGGTTTAAATTTCCGGCTGGTTTTCGTTTTGTACAGCTCAGACCAGCCATCAGAGCTTCCAAGTTCAACTCTCTTGCACATAACAATGTCACGGTTGCCTTACTGAAATCTCCCCCAGACCTTCGCACCAGTCTCTCTTGTGGGAAGAACTTTCATCCTCCATCACTATGCATCTCTCATCGGAAGTTATGGGATAACATAAACTACGGAGGGCTTGGAGCAGGTGCCGCTCCCCACCAATAGACTGGAGCTTCCAGGATGGCCGCTTATAAAATATAAAAAAAGGGGAAAAAGGGGGGGAAAAAAGAGAAAAAAAAAGGAAATATAGTACGCAAAGACATGCCAATGGGGTGGGATGGTAGAACTGAAGTAGGGGAGTAGGGAGTAAAGGTGGGAAAGTCGGAAGGTAGGAGATGTAGGACAGATAAGACACTAGGATGTAGCGATGCTGATGTCATGGGGATACGAGGAAGAGGAAATGTGGGGCCTAGGTAGACATGGTGGGAATGAGTGGAGCAGGGAACGTGCGCCATGCGGCCTGAGGGTCTGACAGGGCATCCCTCCCCACCGTGCCTTGACCCCTTGGGGTTTATCCTGCAGTGTGGCTGGGTGCTGCTAGCAAGCTTCCCAACTTGCAGGATAACCCCCACCAAGGAC